TCCTTGGCGGCCCCTCGTCGCCTCTGGTGCGTGTGGGCTGAGACCCTTCTGCCACCCACCTGGAAGCTCCAGTCTTGAAGTTTGTGTGTAGTTAGGGATAAAAGTGACCAAAGGTAAATCTAAATCCTCCGTCGGATGGTCTAATTGCGGCTGTGCCTCTGGAGCATGTGACTGTTCGGGAGTCATAAAAAAGGTAAATGTTCACGCGCGTTCTTGCCTGGTTCCCGTATATAAGGTAAATTGCTTGGATTTCTAGTGCATAAGGAGCTCATTCGCTTGGATTATACTTTTTAGTTGAAGGATAAAGGTTACAGTAGAGGTGACAATGCGTTACACTGTATGGAGCAGGGTTTTTTTAGACAAATATGTAATCAAGCACGATCTTAGTATATTACTGGGGCAGTTCCATCCTCCTCCTCTTCCCATCTGTTGCTCTTTTGGGCCAGACCCGGGGGTTTTGGCTGCTGCAACAGACCTCAGACTGGATGTAGCCTGTGAAGTACCTGAGAAAACCATCATACTCTGCTCTTTTGATGGTTTAATGCATTTGATGAATTAAAGCTACTTCTTAAATTTCCAATCCGTTGAACTAAATTGGGTATTTAGAATGTAATTGTAGCGTTCTTGTCTCATTTATGCTCAGTCTTATCAGCAGAGATGGTGAGTTATGTGGATGGTCGTTTGGAAATCAGCATATTCTGTTGCCTTGTAGGGCTCCTCAGTAAAACAGTTAGGAACAATTGGAAGTAGTGCTCTCTGGAAAAAAACAGCGCTTTTTAATATAGTAGCATTTCTCACCTTGAGAGCTTTTCAAGCATGTAAAATAAATGAGGATTTTCTTTAGTATTTGCTTGCCAAGAGTCCAAACACAAGGAAGATCTACACCTCATAACTTAAGGTCCTCTTCTGACTCACAGACAAGAATTTATGCTGCATCAGTTGGTTTTAGTATTGGTGATTACAAGCAGAACATAATTCTGTTTGCCGTTTTTTGCTGAGCATGGAATGTGTATCATCTCTAGCTTTAATGTTTTGGTGACATCTACAGCTATTTAAGTGGAAGCACAGAAGGTTGAAAGACATCCCCAAATACTTAATTTAATGGTAGGTGAAGAAATAGTCTTTTCTTTCTGCAGTGAACTGAAGTAGCTGGATTAAGAAAAATTGTTATGCTGTATTTCATGTAGTTGAGTACAGTATGTTAGTAGAGGGTCTATTACTGATATTCAGATATTGAAGTGTCATACGTCTTGCTGACGTGAGATGGTGTGTTAAAGGTCAGCATGAGGCAGACCACTAATGATTTTTCTTTTTTTTCTTCTTTAGAAACCAAGTGCTTGAAATGTTTGATCATGCATATAGCAATTATATGGTAAGTAAAATGCTTGTTTGTATATTTTTTTCTGAGTTCTTATTGCTGACTTGGGAAAGAAAGCAGCCTAGATTAAGTACGTGGCATTCTAGAGAAAGAGCAGGGAGGTAGGGGCAAAACTAAACCTAAAATAAGTAAGAGCACCTGTACAGCCTTTAAAAATAAATGAACAGATGTTACTTTCGAGAGGAGCACTGTCCGGAGGGTTATGACAACTTTCAGAACAGTAGCCAGGAGTTGCTAGCAGTAGCTCTGTTAATCTGTTCCTGATCTTTCTCAAACCAGTTTATCTCACACTGAGCTATGAACAGTCTTCATCTTTGGTAAAGTATTTGATTTGAAATTTCAGACTCCTAAAAACACTGGCAAAAGGAATCTCTAGAATTAGTCTCTCAGATTCTGGAGAACACAAATTGATCTTGCTTATTTTATAGATAAAAATTACGTATAGCGTTTCTCCTAGTGGTAAGATATGTTAGGTGTGGTTTAGTAGTTCTTACAGACAAAGATTGTAGAACAGAGCAGAACAAAAAGGAGATCTGGTATCCTATCTACGCATTATAGCGTCTTCTGAGTATGTGGCTGTCATGACTGAGAGCCACACCCGCTATGGTTTCCTCTAGTATGACCTGTGATTTTCTGTGCAGGGCTGTTCACATGCTGGATGTGTGAGCTGCTTTGCACTCTTGTCAAACTTGCAATATGTTAGCATAGTTACGTTTAAGAAAAAAGAATTACTTGGACAGGACTGGCTTTTCTCAAGTAATAATGACTTTCAAATACAGTATAAGTAATGCTCTTCTGAGGAGAAACTGTAAATGGGAATACAATAAATATAAAAGGTGCTTTCTTAGTGAGTTACGTTAACAATCTCTGTGTGCGTTCTTTCTGACTGTTGCAGAAACCCCTCTCTTGTAAGTTGCACCAGTTCCTGCAGGACAAACTGCTGTCTTTTGACAGTATCTTGCCACATGTCTCAGTTTTCTGTGTTATGGTTTAACGCTTTAATATGTAGCGCACTCTTGAAAGCTTGGGAGTTACAAGTTTGCACAGCACACAAGGGCTGTGGAGTTCTAGAATGGATAGAAAGCTCAGCATGAGTGTTTCCAGAGCAAGTGTAGTTTTCTACGTTAGCTCTTTTGATGCATTAGCAGTTTCACAAACATCAAGCTTTTTGGTGATTTTTTGTGAGTGGTTTTCTCGGGGCCTGTTTCAATGATGAAAACTTGGCTTGCGTTTGCCACAGCATTCTTATGGAAAAGCTTTCAAGTATTTGGCAAAATTGGGTAAAATGTTGTATCCGGGTAGAAAGGCTCCGTGCTCCTGCTTTTTATTGTGTGATAAAGTGGAATCTGGTAGGTGTCTTGCTACTTCAGAAGCAAGAAAATTCTGGATGAAAGAGAAGAATGACTTCAGTGATCCTGGAAACTTTGAAGCCAAAAGGATATTTACTTGCCACATATCCTGGAGCATTAAACAAACAGAGAATATGAATTGTTTGTTCAAAGTTGAAGAAAAGATTAGAGTATCAGACTTGATTCTGACAGCAAGAGAGTAAAGTATTTTTGCAGCTGCTTTTGAAACAAGCAGCAGAAAGTTTTGCTTTTCTGTTTCTATTAATATGCACTTTAAACTTACATATTTAGGAGACTGAAAATTCATGTTTGCATGCAAGGGGGAAATTCCCTTGTCTTTTTTTTTTTTTTTTTGGTTGTTAACAGGAGCTTTGAGTAAAAAGCTGCTGAGTTGGGGTTTTTTTCAATCCTTCAACCATATTTGTAATAATTGGGATTTTTTTTTTCTTCTTGACTGTCAGAAAGAATACTTGGAAATGTCAGTCACTTGAGGCCACTAGGTATTTCTTTGTTTGCAGCACTAGTAGCAATGCGTCTTTTTTTCATAATTTAAGTGCTTTGCTGTCTTGAATTTACAGTCCTGACATTAGGAGATTCGATCATCAGTCAGAACGTGTAGAAATTCTGGAGTATCTGTTGAGCTCCATTTGTATAATATTTCCTGCAAGTATGTTTATTGTGACATCTGTGCCATGTTTTAGACGTAATGGGTCTTGCTACCTTCTTCGGAGGTTGCTTGAAAGGGAAGAAGTTACAAATTGGGAAATCACTTGACCTGGGAGCTTTCCCTGCTCTAGATAAAGAATAAATGAACTTTTACTTTTTCAAAATGCTTCTAGTTCCTTACAGTTTTGTGAGATGTGAAGTCAATTTTTGTCAGAACTTTTGTCAACTTTTTTCTCTGCAAGTTAAGCCAGAGATCTTGGTTTTGACATTGCATTTCTTAATTTGTTTTTCTGAATATTTCACACAGATATCCAGAAACATCTGAGCAATATTCAAGTGATCTAGATTCTGGCTTTTGTAGTTGAACTTGAGGAGAACAAAGAATTGTGCAAAGACCAAAACATTTGGGAGGGTGGTAGACAGGGAAACAAACCATCAGTTTCAAAAGAAGTTGCTGTAAGAACTGTTTATTTATAGAAGAATGTTCCTTCTTTTCCTCTCTCTTTCATGTTTGAATATAGATTATTTTTGTACCTTATATTTGGAAAGACTTTGAATGTGTTTACTTGCAGTTTCAGAGTAATAGTTGAACTTTTTGTCCTGCCTCATGGTCATTCTCTACCAAAAGTAAAATGGGAGAGTGCAGTGCAGCCGGCAGTTTCCTGAAGAAATCGAGAGAGAAGTCCATCCCAAATCCCTTGTGTTAGGCTTCTCACAGAGAGGCAATTTTGTGCATGTTTGAAATTAGCTAAACTTAAAATTTGTGTTCATTAATGTCAGTGGCCATTCTGAAATTTTTTCTGTAAGCCTCTCCTATTGCGCAGTGATGAATTTCAGATTTGTCTGTGTGGTTTGATATCCTATTTTGGTGGTAGTTTAAAGCTACAGAACTCGTATTGACTTGAGAGGGAACAGGAATGGGCATTTCTTTTGGTGTATTTGACTTAGGCGATGGTGCCACTCCTGTTATTTCTGCCTGACTGATGAGAAATAATATTACAATACAGCCTGCTTTGTAGACTGCTTTTTCTAGAAATACGGAAAGTAACTGTTCCTTTTCCAAACAAAATTTAGCAATGTCTTTTTTTTTTCTTTAACAAAGAAGAAGTTATATTTGAAAAAGGCTGTGTCTTGGCAAGCCTTTTTAGTGAATGTTATCTGTTGTTAGACCTTGTATAGTGATTTACCAGTTTATTTTACCTTCTAAGTGAGTTCTCTTATCTGTCTCTGATTGTGCCCCTGAGTCATGTATGTTCTTTTGGAAATGTTTCCAAAGTCACTTTGAAGTCTAATTCTCACTAATTTCTCCATGAAATACCAGCCACTTGATAGTGCCTGCATTAGTTTTAGATTTCAGACTCATCTTTAAGATGGTAATTCCTGCCTAGGAAATTTTATAGGAACCATCATACGCACCTTCTTGCAGAAAACCCACAACATTCAAGTTAATCGGTGGTTTGTTTTTTGTGATGTGCCATTAGTTGCTCCAGACTTCTCTGGGAGGTTAGAAAGAAAGATCTCATGTTGCTCCATTCCCAGTTTAATTATTTCCAGCCATCCAGCTGGAAAGCAGCTCAGCGGAGGAGGACCTGGAGGTCCTGGTAGACACCGAGTTGACCATGAGCCAATGTGTCCTTCGCGGCAAAGGCAGCTGGCGAAGTCCTGGGCTGTGCTAGGCAGAGCGTTGCCAGCAGGTTACAGGAGGGGATCTTTCCCCTCTTCATAGCGCTGGTGAGGCCACACCTGGAGTGCTGGGTCCAGTTCTGGGCTCCCCAGTGCAAGAAAGTCATGGACAAAGTGGGCAAAGTCCACTGAAGGGCCATGAAGATGATTAAGGGATGGGAGCATCTCTCCTTTGAGAAAAGGTTGAGGGAGCTGGGGCTGTTCAGCCTGGAGAAGAGAAGGCTCTGGGGCGATCTTATCAATGTAGATAAATACCCGAGGGAGGCTGTAAAGATGACAGAGACAGGCTCTTCTCAGCAGTGCCCAGAGACAGGACATGAGGCAGTGGACACAAAATGAAATGTGAGAGGTTCACTCTGAACACCAGGAAACACTTTTTTACTGTGAGAGGATGGCTGAGCACTGGCAGAGGTTGCCTAGAGAGGTTATGGAGTCTCCTTCATGGGAGAAATTCACAAGCTCTGTGGATACAGTCCTGGGCAACTGGCTCTAGTTGGCCCTGCTTCAGTAGAAGGGTTGGATCCTTCCCACCTCAGACATTCTGCAATCATCATGCAGTTTTTCTGAAGTACGGCGTGACTGGGCTTCCTTCTAAGGAGCCCTGAAGAGTTGCTGAGGTGGCTGTGGCAGTTGTAACTTACTCCCTTGTTCTGTTTCCCTGCAGGAGCACGCGTATCCAGCTGATGAACTCATGCCTTTAACTTGTCGTGGACGAGTACGGGGTCAGGAACCAAGTCGAGGAGATGTGGATGATGCCTTGGGAAAGTTAGTGTTTGAAATGGTTACTCTCTCCTGTAAACATGTAGGAATCTAAGTACAATTTGCAGCTCATAAAATTTGTTTGTTCAGTTGATGAGTCCAGAAACATACATTTGTGAGAAATACTTTCATTATTTCCTCCCATGGTGTTAACCAATGTGAAATTATACCTTAACCAGAAAAAGAAAAATTGAGCAGTGAATGAGATGCAAAGATAATTTTTCTTAAATAATTCTCCCAAGTATTTTCCATAGGAAAGCCTTCCAGATGTGAGCTGAATTTTAGTTTTACATTACTAGTAAATTTGCCTGCTCAACAGAGGTTATAAGAGTTAATTATCAGCTGCACACAACAGTAAACTGTTATCTGTTGTGCTGGCCTTAAGTGATATTTAAGATGCCCCCTTTTTTTTTTTTAGTACAAAGCTCTCTGAAAATGCAATTAGTCAAATGATTATCATGTGTATGGTAGCCTGAGGCCTTTACCAAAGTAGAAAATATTATTTCAGACATGAAAATTCTTTGTATTTTTTCTTTTAAGATAGCTTATAACACAAAGTACTGAACTTTGGCCAGCAAAATCTTAAGTTTAAGCACTGTTTTCTCCATGTTAAATTGAGTGATTAAAGAAAGTGGAATTACTCTAAAGGTGGTTGTAATTGATTCCTTTGTCTGTACGTGTGCAGTTTATGTTTATAGAGCAAATGCTTAATAACAAACAGCTGTTGGTTTGGGGTTGTTTGTTTTTTGGGGGTTTTTTTGCTGGTGTCACTGTTTAGTGTCCCTAAGCAAAAGAACATTAATGAAAGCTGAAGTACTCGTCTTAAATACTATTTCTTATTCACTCTAGGATACTGAGCATGTCATTTTGGTTATTTTTTGTTATGCACAAAAGTTCTTTAGTCTAGAGATTCTTATGTAAGCCTGCTGCCTTGGAGGTATTGCGAGATCCGAGTGATGAGAAAGAGGTATCAAGAAAACGTATTTTTAATCCCAGTCATGCATTCTTTTGAATGACCTTTTTCTACATAGTAACATACTATCATTTGAGTAAAAATACCTTTCAGCCCCTTAGATGCATTGAATAGCATAAAATACTTCTTTTTCTGTACACATACTTTTTTTCCCTTCTGGTTTGAATAAAGAGCTATAATATTATTATTTATCACATTTCTTATATAATCCTGTTTCTTGCCAGCTGGCTCATCAGTCATGTTCTCTACAAGCCTTTGCAATCCCAACAGGCCAGGGTGAGACAGCCAGGTCACTTCTGTTTCCCTGGAGGGTGTGGGAAGATACTTGCACGCCAGCCTTTGTTGGAGCTGTACAACTCATCGTCTCCTCCCTTTTTGGATGGACAAAGTTGCTGAGTGTTATGCAGTTGTGCATAGCCGCTAGTTTATCTGTTTCTCTTGCAGAACGACACTCAGAGAATGCCATTGTATCTTCACAAATGAAGGAAAATTATAACGTGTGGCCACTCAGTTAGAATTCTGATTATGCTCCCTGCATTAGTCGCATGTTGCCTACAAGGTCTCAGACGTGGGGCACTTGATTAAATCCTTGATGCTTCAATATGCAGTTGTAACTGTTTCCAAAGTTCCCAATTTTAATACTATCATATCCTGTAAATGCTATTCTGTGCATGATGTGTGTTTCTTACCATAAGAACAATTTTATCAGGTTAGGCTAAAGATCCACTCACTTGGCATGCCCTAGAACAGGCCTAGAGAAGAACGTATGACCAGGCCGAGCCTTATTGTAATGTATTCCGGTTTCAAACAGCACGGATCTGACGTGATACTCTCTTTTTATGGAAAAAGTAGCTCCTTATTTTAAGCCTGTGACTTTCTAGTGCTGTGTGGCAACAGGTAAAACTTAACGGTTGAGAACAGCAGATTCTCATCCACTTCCTTCATGCCACGTGCCGTTTAATATCCTTGTATCTTGCCACTGAAGCTTTTGCTTTTACAGGCTGAAGATTGCTACGCCTGTTCGCTTGTTCCCAGTCCAGCTCCATCCCTCGAGCCCTGCCTTAACTGCCTTTGGCTGTACCTTTTCCTCTTCCCTTATAGCCCACGTAGAAGTTTCATGAGAAAATAACCCCATTTTCTTTAGTCTTTCACCACTAATTTTAACACCAAGTTTACAAACCGTGGCTTTTTCCAAAGTAGGTAATTGGAGCAGTTCCTGGTAAAAGAAATGTAGCTTGGAATGATTCTTGATTTTCCTAAATATTTTTGTTATTGCACTTAAGTCAACATTCTTCGCGTTTTGAAAAAGAAAGAAAACAAGCGCTGAGAAAGACAGTTGTAACCATTCTGCTGGATTTCTTAGTAGGTTTGACTGGAGACTAGAAATAAATATTTGATTTGCTCACAAGAAGTTTGAAAGCCTTGTAGTAAATATAGGTATTTTATAATCATAGTTTATTTCAGTCAGCTCCTGTTCTGGTGACTAACACAGGGAAGAAGCTTAGCAGGGTGTTTTGATATTAAACACATTGTGTACAACTTATTTTTTAGTAGCTAGCTGTCCGTGAGAATTTATTTTTTTCCATGGTGTTTGGTACTGTTGAAAATGACTTGATTTCTAGACACATGGCTCTATAATAAATGTGCTTTAAACTTTGTTTCATAGATTTTCACTGACCTTGATTGATACCTTGGACACTCTTGTGGTGAGTTGAATGTATCAATAAATATTGATAAAACAAGAGTGTCTTCTGATGCTCAGACTTGTTTTTAGATTTCTATTTTGTTAAATTCTACATTAAAAATGCTAAGTTTTCTTCACCTTTGATCTCTGGCTATCTGTTCAAAGTAGCTGTTGCTTGTAAGAACGTCCAGGTGCTGCGATGGTGGTGGTTGGAGTTTGTTGCAAAAAGAAAACTAGAACAGTTCCTTCACATTTCACTGATGCTTTCTAACCTTGCTTTTCTTGGGCTTTAACTTAAAAAAGCGTGTGAGTTTGCTCCCTGTCGTAGTCTAAAGCAACATGCTGACTTGAAGGTGAACACCTCTTAATACTTATTGAATTGTTGGTTTTTAAACTGTATATACCCGTTTCGTGGAGGAATTTGTGTGCACTTAAATATACGTATCTCATGAGATAATTAATAATACTACTGTCTGTACTGTGTCGGGGTATGCTCCTGCAGGACTAGAATATCGATCTAAAGCATGTCAAAAGCTTTCTTTTTGTTAATTCATTGCACTTGTTCTTCTACATGTGAGTGTGGCTGTAGTAACTATGCTGGTTACGTTTGTATTCCAGGTGTTAAATAAAACCAAAGAGTTTGAAGAGGCTGTAAAAAAAGTAATAAAGGATGTTAATTTAGATAACGACATAGTAGTATCTGTCTTTGAAACCAACATAAGAGTCCTTGGGTGAGTAACTTGTGCATTTTCAAAACTCTTAAAAGCATGCTTTTTAACTAAATATCCTGAAGGACATGCCTTTCTGAGATGTTTCACCTCATTTAAACCACTCTTGCCTCTGTCAGTTAGTGTGGCTCGACACCTGCCCTGGGAAGGATTTTAAAATGCTGGGCAGGAAGCGATGCAGTGTTACTGAATCAAGCTGACCCCCTTCCAACTGCTGCAGGCGTAGTGCTTTTGAGTTTAAAAAAAACCCAAATCCTGTGTGTGCTGAGGTAGCAGTTCTTTTTCGTAATGGAAGCAGTCTTACAAGTCACACCTTCAATACTTGATTTAATGAATAGAGCATTTCGATACTTAGTGTAACAGCTTATTCCAGGTTGGAAGGGGCCTCTGGAGATCTCTGGTCCCATCGTGCAATGCAGGACCAGAGCAATACATCCATACAGTACAAACAGACAATTGCCTATTGAGCACGTTAGTTCTAAGCTGTTCTGTGGAGTTTTAGTGGTGTTGATTGTTTACTAACTCTACAGTTTAGGAGTCCTAAGCAGTATGAATTGTTTCCAAGGGAGCTAACCTTAATTACAATTTGGAGTTGCATCTGCTCAGCATTTCTGAAAATTGGGGCCACATGAATATAGCACAATTGTATATGTAGTTATGCAAGTTGTCAAAATTTTTCTATCATCGTTCAGACAAGTATAATTTTTGACATGTGAATAATTTTCCTTGTGTTTAGAGGTCTCCTAGGTGGGCATTCAGTGGCAATTATGCTGAAAGAAAAAGGCGAATATATGCAGTGGTACAATGGTGAACTTCTGCACATGGCAAAGGAATTAGGCTACAAGCTTTTACCTGCTTTTAACACCACTAGTGGTCTCCCTTATCCAAGAGTAAGTGCTCTGGTTTCTGCAATTCAGGATTACTTCCGTAAGCAAAAATTTTTGTTGTTTTGTTTTTGTCTCTGTTTCTAAAATCACTTGTGTATTTATTCAGTGTACAGTAAATCAAAAGCCGATAAATTGCTAATTTGCAATAAGTGGTACCTAGTATTTTAAAATACATTTTTAGGCTCTATGAATTCCAGCTCTGAAAATTCTAATATCCATTATTATGGATAAATAGTAGGAGCAGAAATCTTACCTAATCACAGTGCACTGACTTCTTGCTCCCTGCTGTTACAGCAGGCACCACCAAGTAGTTGAGGAGAGCAATTTTTGTTTTGGTACATATCTCTCTCTAAGATAGTGAAAGAGCAACTTGCAAGCACTTGCTTGTGAATTTAACACAATGCTGATTAATCTTTGTGTTCTACATCCCCATTTTTAAGAGGGCAGACGTAGCTGTAATCTAAAAATGCTTAATGTAAAAACTTTCATCATATTTAAACAAGGTATGGTACATATTTTTTGAATGAAAGAAAACTACTCTCCATGTGTATCATCCATTGGGGGGGGCATATGGTTTTGATTGGAAACTTACCTGTAAATTAAGAATTTAGTCTCAGTAAATCAGCTTATTTTCTAGTGAAAATATCCAATTTATAATGTTCAGAGCTTGGTACTCTTCTGCCTTCTCTGGAACGCAGAGTTATGTTGTGCCCACAACAAAAGCGGGTCCGTGCCACAGGTATTCCCTGGAGGCAGGTTGTAGGGAGGTATTTACAAATTGTGATTTCCATGAGGGCTTCTGATGTTCCAAGTTCCTTGTTTGCTGGTAAATAAATCACTAGAATTAGATTTTCAGGATGGTATTTTTTTTATTCAAGTGTTTGGTGAGCCAGGCAGCAGGGCAGTCCTTTTGGGAGGGTTGAGTATTTTGGATACTGGTGGATAACTTTGTGTTTGAGTTGGCAGTGTGGGGTAAAGCAAAGCAGAACCGAAGGGGACTATGTGATCTTTTATTCTAGCCTTTAGAAAAAGCATACATTACATAGTTGTTCTACAGACCTATCATGGAATGTAGAATTCTTTCAGATTGTAAAAATAAAGATGATAATCTTGACTTTTCTGTAGGTTAACTTAAAGTTTGGTGTAAGACATCCAGAAGCACGAACAGGAACAGAAACTGATACCTGTACAGCTTGTGCAGGTACCTTGATCCTTGAGTTTGCAGCTTTAAGCCGATTCACAGGAACATCTATATTTGAGGTTTGCTTTCCATGTTACCTTATTTTTTTGATTAGATATTTGTTAGTGTTCTATTCCATTTCTGTAATTTTGGAAACACAATTTTGAGTTAACGAGGTGGGTGCATGTTGTAGCTTTTCTGCACAAAAAAGTTCGTATGCTTTCAGATTTATTGTATTCGTGGGCTTTTTTTGAAGTATTTGATATTTCCTTTAAAAAAATTAATTTTGTTTGAAAGCAGTTACAGTAATGCAGAATTAAACAAGATAAATACACTGAAGAATAGCTAAAGGATAACGCTTGCATGGTTTCTGGGTAGACTGATCAAGTTCAGTATGAAGAAAAGTGAGATACTTGATCCTTAAAATGAAGCTTAGAAAAATAAATAAAATAAACCCCACGCTTATGCAGTCCCACTGAACATGTGCAAGTCCTACCTAAGGGTATATTGTTAGCAGAAAGCTAAATGGGAATGCTTGCGGGTATGATTTCTTTGATCTGATTTAATAACAATCTTTTAAAAAGCCCTTTTTAAGAATAGATTTTTTTTTTTTTTTTAAATCTTTCAGTATGGGCTTAGTATTTCATTTCCTGTCAAGAAATTCAGTGCTGGGCTTGTGTTGTGTGTTTTGGTAAAACTTGCCCCATAAAGCCCCACACGTTTGGTGATTTAAAGCCATTTTTGTTGGGTAGGTTGTTACCTTCAAGTTCCTTTTGCGCAAACAAAGAATGTTTATCACTTGAATACTAACAAACAGGACTTGCTGCTCTCTGCCTTGAGATTTTTGAAAAGCTACAGTGATTTTTGATTCTAAGGATGTTATATTTCTTGAAATACTTTTAGTGAGGTTACACTATCCTATGTGTACACACAATTTTAGAGTAGCAAACTCACACAGGAGGAAGTTTGACTTGCCTAAGGCCGTACAGCGCACTGGCAAACACTTGTGTAGTCAAGCATTATTCTTTCTGATGAGCAACTGAGTAACTATATAAGATGTGGAGTGAATATCGTACGACTTAAAACTCAGTATTATGTAGCATACGCTTATAATTGTTAGGTGCGAAACATCTTATTACTTCCTAGCATCTTAACCTCAACAGACAAAAGAATTATGATCTTTAGTATCTGTGTTTCTCTGATTTCCTCTAACTGGGTGTTTTTTGTTGTTGCAGGAATATGCACGGAAAGCACTCGATTTTATTTGGGAAAAGAGACAGCGCAGCAGCAATTTAGTGGGTGTTACTATTAATATTCATACTGGAGACTGGGTCCGCAAAGGTGTGTGGTATTCTGACTTATAATCAGCAACCACAAGTGGTTTTGGGCAAGGAAAAAAATCTTGACACCCCCATCAATATGCTTATCTAGAATATTGAAAAATATAAATGGGATGGACAAGTGGAGTTAATTTCTGGAGAAACCTGCTACAAGGAAGCCTGACTTTCCTCTAAAAGGGTGTGTTGGTAGATAAACTAGTTCTATTTGTTGCAAAGAAGGCATTCTCAGATTCGCTTTGATACTGAAATAGGGATGCCTTGGGTTAAATATCTGGAGATTCTACTATAAATACAGAGGAAGGATATAGTAGGTAGGACTGTGGGTGTTGATAGCAGTGAGTAGAATTAGTTTCATGTGAGAAAAGTGAAACAATTGGCTTCAGCGCATGTCTGTTCATGTTATGTGCACTGATACTACACAGCCTTAACGTACAGTTAAGTATTGTGTCTTGGCATTCATCTGTGCCTTAATTCTAGTGATACCAGGCTTTTCCTTTTACTGAAAGAGCCTTTAAAATCAAAATGAAACCAAGGGAAAATAGCCACATAGCTACTTAAAGTAAAACCACCTTTTCATTTTTTCTGCTGTTCCTAGATAGTGGAGTTGGAGCAGGAATAGATTCATATTATGAATATTTATTAAAAGCCTATGTCTTGCTGGGAGATGACAGTTTCCTAGAAAGATTTAACACGGTAAGTTAACGTTTTGCTTGGTTTTGTGCCTTCTGCAAGAAAAATTTCAGACTAATTGTATTGTCAGTCAGCTGTTAGCCTTAGAGGCGTGTGAAGAGGTCGCTAGCAGAATTTCTGTGACTTCTGATGTGTCTAGTGCCAGCTCTTTTTACTATGACTTTTTGCTGATCTGGGGTGAACTCTCCCCCAGGTAGCTATCTTTAACACCATCCAACGACAACCAGAATCTTCTGGACCTCTTCTTCATGTCTCCAGTACAGGAGAAGCTGTATTTCACCTTGGAGAGTGTAATACTGCAAATGTTTTTGTAAAACGATGTAAGGACCTCCTGTTAACAAGCCATGGTACAATTTCTTTCTGTCCTGGAGCAATGAAAAAGATCTGAAAATCGAAGTATGGTTCTTTGATTTCACCGCTCACCCTAAGGCCCAGTGTACACCTAAGTATGCTGAAAAGCACACTCAGATTACTAAACGTATAAAATTACTAAGCAACTTTGTCAGCATCATTATTCTTTTATAAAATTATTTCTTTTGCAAACAGCAATAGCAAATGGAAATGTTTTATATCGTAAAACGTGTTTTTATCATATAGCATGATTTTATATCATAAGCAGCATTAATACTTGAATAATTAACTAAAGGCCTGTTGCAAAACTTGAAGTGTAATGATTATTTCATATTCCTAACCTGCAGCCACTGTTACTATATTTTGTCTCAATTGTATCTGTTAACTGTTTGCTACCTATCTGGCTCCTATGCTCATGATTGCACCTTCCATGCTTCAGGAGAACAAAGCAAACAGTTATCTTGGGGAGCACAGGACTGCAAGTCAGCAAGCTGACAAGTGAACTAGTGGGTTTTAAAATTCTTCTGAGCCATCAGGTCCAACTCTTTGGTTTGTTTTGGGGTTTTTATACCTCCTTTTCCCTTTTCCCTCCTGAGATGCATTTGCTTTTCAATTCTCTTGTTTGAAGAAAGCAATTTCAGCTTTGATTAGGGTGTGCTTAAGGATTCAGCCAAAACGACTGTGCCTTAACCAAGATAGTTACTTGGTTATCGTGTGGCTGCTGAATGTACTTTTGTCTATGTGTATGACTTGGAAAATGTCATTTGCATTGTATGTGTAGTACTGTGGAGCTTTTCACTATTTACTAAACTTCTTTTTAGCTTGCAAAACTAGGAACTACCGTTCTGACGAGTGTAATAATGATTGTGAGTGTAGTACTGATTCTTCCATTGAAGTAAAATGGCATAATTGTTTGTAAAATATATTGATAATACAAACTCATGGTTTTTCTGGTGTTTGCCAGCACTACGATGCCATAATGAGATACATTAGCCAACCACCTCTTCTTCTTGATGTTCATATTCATAAACCAATGCTAAATGCTAGGACCTGGATGGATTCTTTGCTAGCTTTTTTCCCTGGATTGCAGGTAAGCTTTAAAACCCACGCAAAGACTTTAATAACAAGTAAATGATTAAGTAGACTGTGTGTGTAATTGACAATTCTGGCTTAGTAATTTGATTTTCAGAAATACTGAACAAGGATTTTTGTACTCACTCCTCCTGTCACTTCAGTGTTATGATGCAAGTTTCTGGCCATGTTGCCTATCAAGAACAGTATGCCCATATGATTTGCTTCCTTCACTCCTAGTCATGAAAATGCTTAAAACTTCCTTTTTAGTAGTCTAGTGAGCAGTTCTCTAGTTTTTGTGTCATTTACATTTAGACAAACTAAATAATTTCCCCCACAGTTCTCTGGAAATGATAGAGGTCCTTTTTCTGCATAGGCAGTCGTCTTAATGAGCTCTCTGATTTTGCTTAAAAATACGTGTAGCTGAAAGAGGGTGATATTTATAGTATGTGTCTGCTGGAAATTTATCTGTAGCTTTACATGAACACAAGGAGTGTGCCTGACTTTGAATATTATTCCTATGCCTAGTGAATTAGTGTTAATTTTATTCTTTAATTTCAGGTGTTGAAGGGTGATATCAGACCTGCTATTGAAACTCATGAGATGCTGTATCAGGTTATAAAAAAGCATAACTTTCTTCCCGAGGTAAGGTAGTAGTTTTTTTGATCGTGTAAACTCATTCGTACCTCAGTTTGAGCAGTCTCAGTTGGCCATTTCAAAAAAAAATAGTAGGTATATGTGCTACTAAAAGCAAAGGGCCATTTCCACAGCATTCTTATGCAGTTACAGTTCTGCACATATGACAGCCGTGTTTCAGATCTGAGGTATTTTTCTTTTGGTTATGCTGTAATTAACACAATAATAGGAGGCTGCTGCTATTAATTGCTTCGGCTTTGTATTTCAGCCTTTCAGAATTGACCTTGACTCATTTCTGTACACAAAACTTACATAAGTGTCTGTAGTAGTAGCTGCTTAGTAATATAATAGCATTAATGCTAATAATCAGTCATCTTTATGAACACAGGGAGGGAAACTAACGACTGAACTGTTCTGAATGTTGTGAAATTTTGTGTAATGTCCTCGAAAGCAAATACACAAACTTACCTGTAGGTACTGCAAGTGCAGACTAAGTTAATTCTGCACAGAAAAGCTTATTTATCTGCGGAAGTGTATATATTTATTCTGTGACAACCCAGAATATGTGAGAAAGCGTCTAATTCCAGTTTTAATTTAGACTTTCCTCTGGTGTAAGCTTATTTTTGTTCGAGAACGTTTTAATTAACATCGCGTTTACTTAGCATGGATATTGAGACCAAAGAATGCTCTCTAAGCACTGGAATGATTATTTTTATTATTATTTTTTTTCTTTGAGTGCTTTTAAAATTATGTGATTTGGCTCCTTAGGGATTTTTGGGGGTTTGTTGGGTTTTTTTTGCCATTGTTTTGTACTTACGAAGGAAACTTTGAAAGATCAGTTGGTGGTATTTAAGCCAATGTGCCATCCACTTTAGCACAGACTTTGTTTAAACCCCAGAATGAACCAGTAGTGAATGTAAGCCATCACAAAAGTGACTTTTGCTGGTACATATTCAAATTGAATACACAGACTGGGAAATTTTTAGGCAACTGACTTCTAGTCCATGGTATTTCTTATGTTAGGAACAGCTGCTCACTGTTTGTCAGCCTGAAAGGACAGTTTAATGCCCTTGAAGTGTCAGGTGATAGTTACGTTTGGAAAAAGGGTATTTGCTAAAGCTCGCCAAAAGAAGCTTAAATCTTACTCGTACCAAGCAGGCTAGAGTGTGGGTTTTGGCCGCGAATGTGCTGAATGGACAGAGGTTCTTGTAGCCTCCTGAGACTGGTGTTGCACCTTCAGTCCAGAGCCATTTTGCACTTCAGGGGTTGTAATACAGTTAATGTAGGGTTCAAAATAAGTCTGTGTTTGGTTTTAATTTTTGTGTTGGTTGTTTGTTCTTTTTCTTCCTCAGGCATTCACAACAGACTTTAGAGTTCACTGGGCTCAGCACCCTTTAAGGCCTGAATTTGCTGAAAGCACTTACTTCTTGTATAAGGTAAGATCACGTTCAGTCCTCTGATTTTTCATCGCTTGGGGTAGCACCTAGAATTTTTTCGATGTTTTATTTCATTATAGAATGAGTAATGTTATCTCCAGCTTATTTTACCTGCTGGAGCCAGTTCTGTATATAAGCAAGGTAAAAACCTTGGTCATCAGAAATTCTTCTACAAATTTTGCTTTATATGCCTAGAATTGGAAAGAAAACTGTAAAGTGATAAAGGCCCTTAGTTCTGAAGATATGTAAGTGTTACTGGTCTCTCTTAGAGAGATCTTAGAGACTAAGCAAAAGCAATTTGTACCTTGTGGAGAAGAGCAGTGCCTCAGCATCTGTGTTTCTGTGAGGATCTCCATGTATCCACTGAAGGTAATGCAACAGTATCTCAGGAGTCTCTCTTGTGACTCTTCAGCATTATTAATAAATTGGACCTCACCGCTGTCTGAGAAGGAGTGGAATCAATAAATTTGCATTCTGCTAATTGTGCACTAAGTCGAAGTACTGCACCTACATGTTGTAGTTTGGGTTTTGTTTGGTTTTCTTTTGTAGGCTACAGGGGACCCTTACTATCTAGAGGTAGGAAAAACACTCATTGAAAACTTGAACAAGTATGCAAGAGTACCTTGTGGGTTTGCTGCAATGAAGGATGTTCGTACAGGAAGTCATGAAGACAGGTAAAAGTTTTTGTAATTATATTTCTCACAAAAAGATTATAAAGTCTAATGACCCTATTTTATATAATTGAGTTAATTTACTTTAGAGCAGCTCTCTTTCTTCATTTTGATAACCAAGTCTTAAATTAACGATTTATCACAGCCTGTATACTATTCCAGGAGTTTTTTAGTTTGTTACGTAAGAATGTTTTTAGTTTAATAACGTTTCATTTGTGTCAGAGCAGTAGATGAGGTACTTTCAGACAAAATATACTTAAAATCTAGAAGTTTCTGAAGAGGTTTGTTTTCTCCGTAATGCTGTTTGGTACTGAACATGCTGAATTGTTTCCCTCCAAACATAGTTTCTTGCAAGAGGAAGGAGTACTAATGGAATTGAGTTTAACAGTAATAGTCATGAAGTCTTCAGAGACGGAGCAATATGAGTATTTGTTTTACTGATGTTTTAGAAAAAAAGGGAATCTTCTTAAAGAGTGCACTGTTTTTCCACAGAATGGACTCTTTTTTTCTGGCTGAGATGTTTAAATATCTTTACCTGCTGTTTGCTGATAAGGAAGACATGATTTTTGACATTGAAGATTATATCTTCACTACAGAAGCTCATCTGTTACCACTTTGGCTTTCCACTGCCAACCAAACCATCTCTAAAAAAAATACAGTAAGTAGCAGCTCAAATCTGAATCAGTTTTAGTGGTGCTTTGAAGCCATTCTTTTTTTATGAGAGGAAATGGAAGAAAGCTCAGAAAAAAAATTGCAGTTTGAAGTACACCATTTTAGCACTTCACTTTGTGAACTGTTTCGTCATATTAGCATTGCCCAGTCACCTGAGTATGAATAATGTTTCCATAACTGGGTTCTGCGCCACTGAATCTGGAGAAAAAAGATATGAAATATTAGCAATATTTAAAAAAGAAAATCATTGCCCATCTCTGTATAAATTTGAAAATAACACGCTATGATATTTTTATCTTTGTCTTCATTTTGTTATTTTTTTTATAGAATGTCTGCAACAGCATGCATAAACGTCATTCGTTTTACTGTGTGAACCCTTGGCAAATTTTGAGAGGGTTTTTGAAACCACTGCAAAGTTAGTTTGATGAGGCACAGCTATAGCTTTTGGGTTGATTAATTGTTTTAGTCCGTGCAGTAGGCGTCTATTGTGTAAATGTGCGAACATATATATACATATGGGTTGATAAATTCCTTAACCGTACAGAATAACCCAGAGCAATACAACTGTGCCGTGAAGCATCATAATTATGTTTTTGTGTGTGTGGTTTTGCTTAGTAAGGTGACATAATTTATCTTTTAGGCAGTAATATAACTGACAAGCAAAAGAAGTGCGTGAGAAAGTGATGAAAGAGGTGTTTAGGATGTCAGAGACGTAAATTCACTTTTGTCCGTGTGCCTCTATTTTACCTTTTACTATGACTTTTACAATAACACCTGGACCAGAGCAAAATGCTCATGTGTGTCAAGCTGTGTCCTGGAAAAATCATTTAATTGAGTAGAAAGCACTCTATTTTGTGGACTCTGGCATAAGACGGTGAAAAGTGTTTCATTACTTGCTCTTAATAATGTCTGACATTGGTGATTATACATTTAATGGGTTGTTTCTTCATGTTCCTTGATGACAGAGATCCTGCGTCTTCTCTGAAAGGTTCTTTCCTTGAGCGTTTGTCTTTTATCTTTGAATTTTGGAAATGAAGACTAATGAGAAAAGCTCAGTGAGGTGGATAGAGTAAATTGTTCAGATGCAATTTTCTTAAGCTCTTAAAGACAAAGCTGCTAACATGCGTAATAGAAGTAGGAAGGATCCACTGAAGATGGTGTCAATGAAATGTGTTAAACGGCTAAAAGTCTGTGAAGATGAGCATGTTACTTTTTCTTAATGCATTTTTTCTGATGGGGGGGGAAACGAATAAAAAAAAATGGAACTTGTAGATAATTTTAAACACAGAATGCTATTAAGCGGAAATGTCCGCGAGATAGTTGGTAGTATCAACCCAACATCCAGTTTCTAATAAACAGGAAAGGTCATATCTTACTGTGCTGATGCTTGCAGTAGCTCTTGCAAGACTTTCTCTCTTCAGTGGTGTGACTACTGGTTGTTACCCTAAGAGCATAGGTACTTTGAAGTGCTTATTCCAGTAAACTAGTAGGTCTTGTTTTTTGGGAAGCCTTTAAATACTTGATTTTTAATTGACTGATGTGTTGCAAACAATTGTTGTGGGGTTTTCTGCTAGTATATAAACACTAAATTAATTTTTATGGGTGAGAAAATTTAACTTGCCAGTTCTCCAGACAGTTATTTGCAGAGCTAAGAATGGGCCAAATACAGCTCCAAATCACTATGGTTTCATTTGTGCCATTTGTGCAGATACTAACTCTGTAATCTTTTCTGAAAATAGCAGTTGTTGGAATTATATGTAGATCCATCCTTGCCCATTCGGCCTTCCAAGTCTGTGCAGCTCCTGAGGAGGGGAATCTTTTTGTTTGTATGAAAAGATGTGACATACTTGGAAGCAAAAATTACCTCGGGCCTGCAGCTGGTCGACTTGGCATAAAGGAAATTTCAAATAAAATAGTAACTACTTTCTTTAGTTGTCCGGCATGTAAAAGTACAGGGGCACTCGTGGGCCTGGGAAGTGCCCACTAGCTGGTTTTGAAAAAAAAGAATTCTAGAAACTGTGGATACAAGTTTGGTAAGTTACTAATTAGAACTGATGGTGTATTTATGTCTAGAAATGGGTTGTAGTGCACTGGCTACCCTTTATTATTATGAGATGTGGCATGGAAGAGTGATGTATTCTTCATTCCTGGAATCTGTGTGGTTGTAGGACACTTCTTGCATGCAGACTGCATAGGGGTAGGTCTTGATTTTTCTGCATATGATAATGTAACCTGTATTTTAACAGGCGATCTCTATCTTTCATTTTAGACTACAGAATACACGGAGCTGGATGACAGCAACTTTGACTGGACCTGTCCAAACACCCAGATTCTTTTCCCAAATGACCCTATGTTTGCTCAAAGTATTCGTGAACCTTTGAAAAATGTGGTGGATAAGAGTTGTCCTCGGGGTATTTCCAGAGTGTAAGATGATTTTTTTTTTTTTTCCCTCCCCCCATCTTTTGTTAGTGTAGGAGTGAGTGGAATAAGGTTTGTTATGTATGGAAGAGGAAATATGAGGTGTGCTGGAGCTTGTGTTTGTAGTCCTTTTAGGATGGCCCAGTTTTGTTCAATGACCTGGATGAAGGGATAGAGTGTACCTTCAGCAAATTCACGATACAAAACTGGGAGGGGTGGCTGACACCCAGGCAGGCTGTGCTGCCATCCAGTGAGATCTGGACAGGCTGGAGAGCTGGGCAAAGGGGAATCTCATGAAGTTCAGTAAGGACAAGTGTAGAGTCCTGCATCTGGGGAGGAATAACACCAAGCACCAGTACAGATCAAGGGTCCTCCTGCTGGAAAGCAGCCCTGTGGAGAAAGACCTTGGAGTCCTAGTGGACAGTGAGTTGTCCATGGGATAGCAACGTGCCCTTGTGGCCAAGAGGGCCAATGGGATCCTGGGGTGCAATAAGGAAAGTGTGTCCAGCAGGTCTAGGGAGGTTCTCCTCCACCTCTGCTCTGCCCTGGCGAGACCTGGTGAGGGGGCCAGTTAGCTCAGTGGTTTGAGCGTGGTGCTGGCAACAAGGACCAACACTGAGGTCGCGGGTTTGATTCCCACTCGGTCCCCATGTGTTGCCTGGTCTAGTCGAGAGGTGGCGTCCCTGCCCAAAACAGGGAGGTTGGACTAGATGATCTCTAAGGTCCCTTCCAGCCTAGGCCAGTCTATGATTCTATGAATACCTGAGTGGTCAGTGTCAAGAGGAAGGGGCCAGTCTCTTGTCAGTGATGCCCAGTAATGGGACAAGGAATAATGGGTACAAGCTAGAACATAGGTGATTCCTCCTCAACATGAGGAGAAACTTCTTTACTGTGAAGGTGATGGAGCCCTGGCACAGGCTGCCCAGAGAGGTTGTGGAGTCTCCTTCTCTGGAGACTTTCAAAACCTGCCTGGATGCATTCCTGTGTGGCTGCCCTAGGGATCCTGCTCCAGCAGGGGGCTGGACTGAATGATCTCTAGAGGTCCCTTCCAACCCGTAACACTTTATGAGCTGAGCTGTGGGACATCAGTTATGTTTTCTCTGCTGTCATCAGCAAGACTTAGTTGAATTAGTGAATCTTTCAAAGCCAAAGAAACTTAATGAGCCACACACTCCAACTGGGGAATTGTAGTGCAGGTATAACGGGAAGTACATTTCTTCGATTTGTAAAATTGGTTTCTGCGGTCTCTTGAACAGTTCTGCAGCTCTTATTTGTAGTCAGCAAATCATGCTACCGTATGTAACTTTATCCATTCTGAAGAATTTAGGACAATTTGTTAAAACTGAGGAAGTTTATCCTTCTGACCACCTCTTCAATATTTATACTTTGATGTTTATCCTGACTAGCAGCTGCATGAGGAGAACTGGTTTAGTCAGTCTTACAATAATACAGACTACTTAGAGATGAGAGAAAGCATGGGAGTTTTTTTAACAACATTGTGTGTGCTTTTTGCATTACAAAATTACCAATAAGAGCAACAACTTTTATAAAAGGTAGTTTGACTGAGAGCTTGCATTCTAGTGGTGCTTGTACTCAACATTATTCAAAAGAATTCTGATCTTGTGGCGATGTGAATAACATGAGAGTTGTGTACAAAGAATAATCTGTTTTTTAAAGCTTTGACATCCAATACCTTTTGGCAGAGAGGAGAGTTTGGGAAGTGGACCGAAACCACCATTGAGAGCCAGAGATTTCATGGCCAGTAATCCTGAACACTTGGAGATACTGAAGAAGATGGGAGTCAGTTTGATTCATCTGAAAGATGGAAGAGTACAGTTAGTACAGCATGCAGTGCAAGTAAGACCTGACCACCTTTTTTAGGGGAAACCTTTCAGTAAAATTCTTCTAGCAAAGACATTTGACACTTAGAGGTTCAGGATGGACAGCCAGCCTGTGGAAGGAGACACAAGCTGGATAGGCAACTGTATTTAGCAGTCTGATGCTTGTTAATATTTTGCCTCCGCAACACTTTTAGCTAATCTTCCATTAAATTAGATGGAGGCTGCTCATGTCAGTGATGTAGCTAACAGCATCTTACCTGAAAACACTAGCTTTCAGTGTGAAATGATGGAGCGCCAGTAAGCATCCACTCCATATTTTAAAATCTTTGTAGCAGTGGTCCAAGCAAAAAACTTCAATTTCTTACTACTTTTTTCCAGGTTTCTCAAACATTTAAGAATAAACTGTTGTTTCTTTACTACTCAGGCAGCAAGTTCACTTGATGCTGAAGATGGCTTACGGTTCATGCAGGAAATGATTGAACTCTCCAGTCAGCAACAGAAAGAGCAACAGCTACCTCCTCGTGCTGTTCAAATTGTTTCCCACCCGTTCTTCGGCAGGGTGGTCTTGACTGCTGGGCCAGCGCAGTTTGGGATGGACTTATCCAAACACAAAGCAGGGGTGTGTAAGATGTCTACATGATCTGCTCCTAGCTTTCTTTCCCTACTGCATAAGCCTAAATTTTACAGTACTGATACTGTTTCAGGGGGCCCAGCTAGAGGGTGATCAATTAATTACAGTGGTTAAAGTGACAGAGTGACAGCCTTTTAGGTGAGTGGCTTATCAGTCTGTGGCTCGTGCTCTGCTCCCGAGTCATCAGTTGTGATTTAGGATTTAAAATACATACCTTGTATGGTTTATGGAACGAATGGGTATAATCTGCAGTGTGTATCTTAAGAGGCATTAATTTAGGGAGGGTTGTCCTGCTGTGTCAGCCATGAATTTGCAGAAGCCCTTTCAGAGCTAGAGTAGGCTGTTCTTATGCAAGCTTTTATAAAAGGCTGTATCTAGATGAAAGAAGAAAACGTCACAGAGGCAGTGGTCCCTGTTGGAAGCAGTAGGAAAGCCCGATGACTTTGGGCAAGATGCAGCCCCAAAGAGGAGTTCCAGGCTAGCAGTTCACAGAAGAAAATTTTTGAGAGACAGCACTTCACAGGTATAGACAAAATACCCTGAATATGAGAATTAGGTTTTCTTTTGGTTGTTGTTCTAAAACTCCAGCTTCATGGTAAAGATTGCCTGCATTGACAGAAGACAACACGAAATGTGTTAGATTAACTGAAGGAATGGAAATGCTTAGGAACCTTTTGCAAGCTTGAACCTAGTGTGCTAATTCTTTCTTTTTTATTTTTCCAAACAGACAAGAGGATTTGTTGCGACCATTAAGCCATATAATGGATGCTCAGAGATCACTAATCCTGAGGCAGTGAAAGAGAAAATTGCTCTGATGCAAAGAGGCCAGTGTATGTTTGCTGAAAAGGCACGAAACATTCAAAAAGCTGGAGCAATAGGAGGCATTGTTATTGGTAATAAAATTAAGTTCTTGAAATCTTAAGTTTATGAAACCTTCATTTACCAGATTTGAAGATACTGGAGAGCTGATAGGAAGCTGTTAAAGTCTCTGGGGATGACAGTATTCTAATACAGAAATTACGCTTTCCGGAGCTGAAGCCTTTTTTGGGTTTGTCTGGTTCTGCGCAGAGAGCTTAGCTGAACAAATCGGGATGCGTGATTGCCACTGCGTTTGCAGATTAGAAGTTGTTATTTAAGGATCACCTGAGTTTGCAATAGTGCAGTCTACTAACTTGAGCTACAAATAAAACATGTTCAAGAGAACAAGTTGGCTGCTTATTTTTTGCAGTTATCTATTTTCTGCCTGGCATCCTCTGAAGAGCAGAGTTGCAGTCCGTTTATCTAACAGGAGGTTTGCTTGATTTTCCTTTTTGTGGACTAGATGACAACGAGGGTAGCAGTAGTGACACAGCTCCTCTCTTCCAAATGGCCGGTGATGGGAAGAATACGGATGATATCACGATTCCCATGCTCTTCCTCTTCAACAAGGAAGGAAACATAATATTGGACGCAATCCGGGAGTACGAGGCTGTAGAGGTGCTCCTTTCCGATAAAGCAAAAGACAGAGGTAAGATGAGAGGTTCTCCATACAAATTCAGCTTTCATCAGTGCCATGGCACAACGTGAAATGTGTAGTAGTGATCTCTCCTGGCACTCAAAGGTGCAAACACCTTGTCTGGTAGCTCGAGTTTTCTCTTTGACATCAGTACTAGTTTTGTCATGAGAAAGCCGTTGTCTGAGATGTGTTATCTGCTTCCCTCCACGCCAAGTTAACATTAACGTCCAGCCATGCTGTTCCTAAGTTAAATGTCAGTTGGACTAATGAGAAAATGCAGCCTTTTGGATTCCTTTTGAACCCTTTTTGTCATAATCTGCTTTGACGTGGTGTCAGTAAGTGTTTTCAGTGCCCTACATTGTAAATGCCTTCCCTTTATCAAGCTCCCCAGTGACGTTCTTGGTACCCAAAAGGAAAGAGACAACTGTTAAAACTATTTCGCCTGTCTAAGAATTGAGAAACAAAGCTACTGACCTCAGATGTTTTGCAGATTTTCTTGTATAATACAGGAAAAATTGCAAGCTAATCCAATCCCAGTTAAAATGTTTGCATGTGGACAAAAAAGCTGGGGTTTTCTTTTGTAAGCCTTCCTTGCAGCACTGCTTTGTCCGGGCAGAGTACGTGAGAACAAGTTATCTCTGCTCAACCAGTGACAGCGTTTATTTCTGCGCGTTTGCAAAGGTGATAGGCCGCAAGTTTAGTGTTGTTTCTTCGTAGCTGCTTACAAATTCCTTCTCTTCGTGACTATGGTTAAGCTACTTTAACAATACACTAAATGCAAAAGGGAGCTCTGCATTTGAGAATTTGTAATCCGTATCTGCTTCTTCCCCTCTCCTCGTGCTTCCGTTTGGAATCCCAGCAACAATCTTTAAAGGTAAAATGATTCCAAACTACATTATTGATAGCAGTAAGTATCCCGTGTTAAAAGTAGCCTATGAAGTTAAACTCCCTAGGAGTCTTGAAATTAATTAGTGTCCTGTATATTAAATATAAATACCAAACTCCAGGGATTTGCATGGGTAAATTGGACAGCTGTCACAAAGCTCAGTCAGTTCTTGAGACCTGTGTGTTAGTTACTTGGGGTGGGGATGTGATGAGAGAGGCTTCAGCCCTTTTTAATTCACAGTTCAGTAAACTTAAGAGATTCTGTCCAACTCCCACTTGCTTAGAAGTGGGATCCTGGTGGATCTGGGAGCGGTTTAAAACCCAGTATTAAAGTTCAGTGCACGTGTGGGTGTTTGCTTGAGGCTGAAGGATGGTAACTAGCACTGACCCAGAACTCACTCTGCAAGTTTGAGGCACAAAAACATCGTATTGTTTGCCCTCCTGTAAAATGTGTCTAAATGTCTTCCCTCCCTCTGTAAAATACATTCATTAATAACATTAAATTTTCATAGCCATGGAAAGTCTGCACTCTGGAGGAAATAAGGCCAAGGGAGGTGACCTTGCTTTTGAAACATGTAATAAAATGCTGCCTTCCTAGGTTGTGGGTTATTTTTACAGGACCTTTTTTTCTTTTTTTTTTTCCCTCTCTTTCAAAGACTTGGAAATGGAGAATATGGACCAGAAGTTATCTGAAAATGATTCACATAACCAGAATTCAGAAGAAGCTACTTCAGCACCTCAGGACATTGGTACAGTCAGCATGGAGCCTGAAGGAGGAGCAAGCTCGGATGTTACTGACCCTGACTCTTTATCTCCTGCTCACGCAGACAGTGACGGTGTTTCCATTTCAAATCAGGATTCCTCCGTCCCTGGAACTGATGAGGCAGGTGCTCCTGAGCTGGCATGTACGCAAGGGGGTAACCAGCCTCAGGAACAAAAGGCTGAGACAGAGTCAAATTCCAGAGTTAACTGGGATAGTAAAGTCCAGCCTATGGAATCCATATTAGCAGACTGGAATGAAGATATAGAAGCATTTGAAATGATGGAAAAGGATGAGCTATGACTTGTAATAATAACTTATTTGTTAGTAAACCAATGGAGAACTCTTTGGATAGAAGTGAGGCCCCGATATTCGAGAACTAGAAGACACATTCAGTATTGTGATGAGCAGCCAGGTTCCAGCTGGAAAATACCACAGAAATCCAGCACGCACTCTCTGTATTGTTTTAATATTTCCTGTTTAGAAATGGGAACGTGCAATCGAAGCATTTGCCTCGCCCTGCTGCGTGGTGCTGTGACCGGGGAGGCTCAGTCAGGGCACGAGCCCAACTTCTGTATTCCAGGCTCCGAGAGGTGACGCTCCCTTGGTCTCTGGAAAGCAAAAGTTGGAGGCCGTGAGGTTAACGTACCATGTACTGGTTATCAGTGTGAGCACTTGAGGGCTGTGGTCGGAGCGAAGGTGCAGCTTCGCTGATCTCCTCTGAGCTGGAAGCCTTTGTTGGTAGCGGCAGGTGAAATTCCATTTCCAGGTGTCACGTCTGTAAGACACAGCCAGAAGCAGTTAGATTTTTGGTCCTGACATATCACACCGAGACATAGTAGTGTTGCTCCTCACTCCTTCCATCTGTTACCGTGAAGAACGACTGTGATGGCACGCAAGTTTTCCCTTCTGCTCTGCTTTCAGCTAGAGAAGCTGTATAAACTAAAGGCAAGCGTGTACTTTGTAAGCGGATTCCATCAGGGAAGCTGAGAGAGACGGCCTTGGGGTCTGCCAGGTAAAGTTATGCTCAAGGTTAAGGTGAAGCGGACAAGGCAGATGTCGAGTTGCAGGTATTTTGTTTGGCCTTCCAGGCTGAAAAAACTCAACCTGCCCCAAGATACGGAATTTAAACCAGAACTATTCTGTGAAACAGCGCAAAGCAGAGCTAGATTGGCTGTAATCTTCCTTTTTCTACAAGTTTTGACTTCTAACAGCTTGACTTTGTCATTCTTTTTATATGCAACTTCTGTATGTGTGATACTTAAGGTGATGAGGCCAGCACCATTAGGGAAGTGAAACAATTCTGGCCATCGGGTCCGCAGTTCAAAGCACAGGGATGACTAGTATGTTACTCTGGGCTTTGGAGTTTGTTACAGGTAGCCATGAATCCTAATTTGTTATCCCTGTTACAAAAAAACCCACTATTTAAATAATAACACTGGGGATGTTTAAACAACTGGGAGACGTTTTGACCGTGTCCAGAGAAACTGCCAAAAAGTCCGTGACTTGATTTATATAAAACTGCTTTTAGCAAATTGTGGTTCGAAGAATTGTTTTATATTATGGAGTAAATTAACACTGCCTACATGCTGCACCAGGCTAAAAATTAAAGTTTCTGTTCATCTTTACAATGGGATGTGTGGGGGGGGAAAGCCCTGGTCTGAATTGTACCTCTCCTTCAGCCGGTGAAAGGATGCGTGCTGAATACGCAGCTGTTAATTAGTCCAGCCGTACTGTGTTTATGTTACGTGTACTCCTTTACAGTATGAATGGAGAAATCCCAGGCGAATGTTGCAGACGTGTGTACTTAGCGACATGGGGCTTTCAAGAGTATCAAAATGCACAGGCACCTTCTGAGAGCACCACAGTCTGACAGAATCCCACCCATAAGCTGAATGCTAACTTGAAATCAGTAACGTAGGAGGTAATCTTGAGGTGGAAATAAGGCGGTAGCGCAATAGCAAATAAGTGGCCTTTTAAATAAATTAGCTTTTAACTGTAGTTGTAATTCCTTTTGCACAAATAACTGTATGGAGGTTCAGACTGATTGAGTAGGGCTTGCAGCAGCTGGGGTTTTTCAATTGAGAATTCTTTTTTTTTAATTTATGGGTTAGGGCATTTGGGGGCTTTTTGGTTTTGGTGTTTTGGGGTTTTTTTCCACGTAAGGCATTTGATCACGGGAGGTTTTTAAGTGTCCTTTGTTACTTGGAGCCCCAGCCTGCATCCGTGGGATGCTACACTCCCCGGGCTCGAAGCAAGGTAGCCAAGCACAGTTGGCTGCGAGATCAAAAATCATCGGGTGCAGATAAAAAGTTTTCGCTCTGATAATTCCTTTGAGCTGTCAGTGCTTAGTGCCACAAAAGGAGCATCTCTGTTCCCTTCATCTTCATACCTGTTCAGCTCTTTCAGTGGAAATAGAATTATTTTTATAGCTACAGAGGCCCCACTGGTTGTTACTTGAAGACTGTCAATGTAGCAACTAAAAGTTTTCTTTTTTTACTTGCAGGAAATCTAGGTGTAGAGGTAAATCTTTTATTAAAAGATTAACTTCCCTTGCCATCACAAGCTTCTATTTTTATTAAACTGCTTTTTCCACATCTATTGCTAAAGCAGCAGACCTTGGCTCTCCTTCTAAGGGATGTTGAATGATCCCAGAGCTCCATATGGATTTGAAGCATCATTTTGGTAGTGGCCTACCTCAGATAACTGTTGCCTCCTTCCTCCTGTTTTTTTTGGGTTTGTTGGGTTTTTTGTTTTGCTTTGTTTTGCTTTTCATTTCAGTTTGTTCTACTTTAACTTTGAAACCACCATGAGAGCCATAGCTTTGTTTACAGAACTGAATCGAGTAAGGTTGACCTTTTGGCAAAGATGGTTAAATTTGGGGGGGAAGAGGGGAAGTTTTATTCAGGTTTTTGTCACTTTGTATTTCCTTGTGAGGAAATAGGCTTTGGTTTGACCTTTTCATATCGTTCTGTCACTGTTATCTTAAAAAGTGAAAGAATGTATTCATAAAAAACAAAACAAAGCCTTTTGGAGAGGGAAGTGTTCTTCCCAAATTTTTAGAAGTCTGCTCCCTCCACGTGAAATATTGCTCATACATCGTTCATCAGTAATTTCTCTGTATAGTATTGTACATTTTATTTGTATGGTATTTTGAACACTGAAGAATTCAGGAATCGCAGCTGGAACTAGCACTTACTCCATGCCATGTAATTCAAATCAGCCAATTAATTTCTCATTTGATCTTAAAGGAATCTTCCTAATTGTTTACATTTTATTGTTTCTTAATGAAGTTTCAAAACAAGTCCAGCTTTGGTTCTTCTCCTCCCGCCAGTGTACCCGAAGGCATAGTGGTCAGCATGAATAAGTGTAGGTTGAGAGGTTAAAAATGAGACACAGAGAAAAAAAAAAAAAAGAAAAACAAAACAAACCATTCTGTGAATGAAATATTGTATGTTCAGATTTTATAAATTTTTTTTTTTTTTTTTAGCCAGCCCAATTTACAGCCGTCTATTTTCTTATGAAAGATGTCTAATACCAGGTGCTGTAACACTATTGTTGGGTTTTACCGTCTGGTGATAAGTGTACACAATATTTCTAAGGGCAACTATGTACTGTGATGTAAAAGTCTGGGCTAAAATGTATATAATCTGTGTACATAATTGTGTACTTGATTATAATTGCTGATTGTAAAGATTTAATAAAATGTAAATATTCTGGTCAAGCTGTGATAACGCAACGCTTGATTTGTGAATTGCCTGGCCACCTCACTTTGCCTGCAGTGTGAGCAAGGCAAACCGAATTCTGGGTTAATTTTTCATTGTGAGAGTGGCCAACCACAGATATTACGTAATTACAACAACACCTTTTCAGGATATAATTGACAGTGGCCTGGAAAGACTCTCAACAGCTTCATTAATTGGACCTCTTCAACCTTTATTGTTCTATAAGTTGGGCATTTTTAATTTATTTTTTTTTTAAAGTGAGAAGACAGATCCTCAAAGGTTCATTTAAAGGATGGCTACATGCTTCAATTTCTTCTACTTTATCTTTGAAACCACCCCAAGAGCCATGGCTTTGCATACAGAACTGAATTGGGTAAGGTTGATCCTGTTGTTTGTAAAATTGAAAAAAAACAAACCAAAACCCCAGAACCCAAAACAGGTCTCTCTTGGGCCTGATGTGGTCTCAGAGGAAATGTACTCCATCCTTCTTCCTCTGTTACCAGCTGTTGTCGACACCTCTAGTCCTGTGAGGTGTAACAATATGTATTTTACCACAAGGAAATGTGTGAAGAGATGGAAGGAGGGAAAGGGAGTGCTGGTACGAGCAGACAGAGATCCGGAGCTGCGTTGTGATACTCGGAGGCATCAACTTGGAGCGGATGAGCCAGGGCTGGGGCAGAGGGACTTAGACCAAACCTGTCACGACTTCTCCCTGTGTTGGAGCAGCCCTTTGTGGCTGCATCCCCTCCCCTTTTCCCATTTTTCTTCAGAATCAGGAGCCTCCCTCTGCTCTGGCTCTGCCTTTCCTGCAGCGATGATGCCCTGTCCCTCTCTCCTGGGCTTGTTCACGTTCTCCCCATCTGTCCACTAACCAAGCATTGAACTAACACCCAAAAACCAGGCACAGGTGTTTGTCTTCTGCAGGTGTCCTGCACCCAGCCTGTGGCTGTGGGTCACCCATGGTGCTGCCCACGTGGGCAGAGGAGATGTGGTTGCTTAAAAGAAGCCCTTTTTGCAAAAACTCGGATCCTCATGGGCTCACCTGGTGAAACCGGAGCCTGAGATGCAGGTTGGGAGGGTTTAACCCATTGCTCTCCCTGGGCCTCATGGATGGTGCCTTGGGACATCAGTGCAGAACCATGAACAACAGCAAAGCCTTTTTTTTTTTAAAGAGAAAAAACTCCCAGAGGAATCCGTGTTCTCTCAGCAATACCCTCCTGGAGTCTTGGGAGGATCTGGTTTTATCCTTTCGCGTTCATCCGTATGAAAATAAGGAGGAGTCACCCTCTGGTTGCAGATAGCCTCTGAAAAGGCAAAAATATTATGCAAAATTAGCAGTTAGGGTGCCCCCTAGTCCTGCCCCTCTCTGTATTTCCTTTGCAGTATGAAACTGGGAATAATTGGTTCTTTCTGTCTTTGAAGATGCTCCTGCTCTGCAGCGACGCTTGCTGGAAGGGATGCACAAAGGGTTAAGGGAAGCACAGCTGCATCAGTATGTTGGCCCTCCTGCTAAAACTATCCTCAATAATTACTTTATGCTAATAGTTGCATTGATGGGCCATTACTCTCTTTCCAGGT